TAAGGATTTTCTACAAAATTTTAGGTAGAACTTGGAAATTGTTTACTCATATACGCATCAATACAATAGGTGCTTAGATTAAATGGGGAAAAGAGAACCAAAGATAAAATATTGCCTTAGTTTCTTTTTCTTTCTTTCTTTCTTTCTTTCTTTCTTTCTTTATTTTCTTTTCATTTCCCCTTCATAATAAGTGAAATTCATTGAAAGAGCTCCAAAGTGCATTACTTTTTGAGTTGAAAATAACAATAATAATTATCACAATTACAAATTACACAAACAAAACAATTTTGTCAATTAAATATTGATATTTTTTTCAAACAAATATATAGTAGAATATGAGCAAAATATACGCACTAATAAATAGTGCAGAATCTGTATTACATAACATCTTATACGACATCAATGTATAAACATGAAAAATGAAATACGTAAACTATTATGTACATCTCTTCCAAGTTTAATGTAGTTAAGTAATTAAATAACACTGATGCAATGCTTTGCTTGAAGTGCCTACCTGTTAGTCCTAGAGTCTTTGGGTCTAGATAGTTGTTAGGCAATTTCATTTGGACAAACACTTTTCAATTGTAATTGTAATTACCCCAATTCATAATCTGCTCTTAATCAGTAATTAAGGATGTTAATTAAGAGATTAAACTAAATTATGTATTTATTGTGTATTTTGTATGCTATTTGGCTTTCTATATGTTACTTGTAGAAATTTCTGTCTAGAATTCTGCTTTAATCTGAAAATCGAAAGCCTTATCGGCATCCGAAACCGAAATTGGTTACATGAATATGTTGTTTGGAATTTTTAGAACACTTCGGAAAGTTTAATTAACAATTGATTAAGAATTGATTTAGTTTGATAAATTAAGTTATTTAATGTTCTAATTATTGTATTATGCCATCCAATTATATATATTGAGCCTTAAGCTCATTTCAGGTAATCTCTTCTTCACTTTGAACTCACAAAATCTGAGATTACACTTTAGAGAGAGAGAGAGAGAGAGAGAGAACTCTCATCTAGAAAGAGTAGTGTATAGCTTGAATTGATCAAAGTTTGTGCAAGAACAAGTGTGTTTGAAGCCTTTAGGTGAGAATTCAACCCTCAATTCATGGAAGTAATAAGTTTTAGAGTTGTGTTCATGGATTTTATTTGACCATTGCATGTATTTTGATACTTATAGGCAAAAGAGTGATGGAATTCCACATGCATGCAAGAACATGTTGAGTTCTGTCATGTTAAGTTCAAATTCTAGCATCATCCTTGTTAAATTATGAGTTAGGTTGCCCATGCATTTTTCATTCATCATATGTTAACCTTTAAATTCATGTTTTGAAAAAGGATTTTGTACATGCAAGGAGCTTTTAAGCTCAAGTTTGGTAAATTCATGAGTTTTGAGAAAAGAGTTTGTATAATTTACATGCATGAGTTTTGAGTTCAATTTTGGTGAATTTAAAGTGAGTTTGAACGAATGGTTTTGAGGGATCATGTATAAATGTTTTCCAAAGTTAATATGTGTTTTTGAACAAGCCATACATGGCCCATGGCTTTGAAATTGCAGTTTTAGAGCTCAAACTCTGTTCTCGAAAACTCAGAAAATCTGCAGACCGCTCGAGCAACCGAGTGTGCGCTCGAGCGAACTTAACGAGCTCCTAGTACTTTTGCAGTCAAGGTAGTTGGCTCAAGCGACGGAAGCTTCGCTCGAGCGAACTCACATTTTCAAGGCACATGGCTCGAGTGATCAAAAGTTGGCTCGAGCCTAGATTTTCAGTATCTAGTAGTTTTGCAAACCAAGGGATCCGCTCGAGCAAACTGTCATGTTTCTAAAATTTTGTTAAGTCTTTTCAAAGGGCATAATTGCATCCTCATTGCATCCTAAGCATTCTAAAGCCATGTTTAAGCTATACTAATGAGGATAAGAATTAAAAATGCGCCTAAAAAGAAATGTAATAAGTTAAGAGATTACAGAGAGTGTGTTTCAATGTGTTCAAGCAATGTGATAAGGAAAAATAAGAAATCAATGTAAGGAAAGCTAAGCCATGTTGGCCATATGAATGTGTAATAATAAGATATGTTTTGTGTTATGCCCATTTGTGGTTGTAGGTTAAGATTTGGAGACCGCTGTGAGTAACGTTATTGTAAGGATATGTTCATACGAGTTATGTTCGAAAAGTTATTTGATAAGCTATGATTTTGAAATGTGATTTTGTTAACGTGAACGAATGTCCTATTTGAAATCTATTTTGGCATCCATAGAAAGTCTCAAGTCATGGGAGACGGCATGTTAATGCAAGTCCATGACATATATGTGATTACGAGATCTCATTAGCCACTTGACAAAGTGGTGATGCGTTTAATCAGTATCCGAAACCGATTACTCTAGTCAGATGACGATATGTTATGTTTTGTTGGATGTACCATTATTATATTCAGATATGAAAATGATTATGTTATGATCTGTTTTATGAATATGAAATTTTGTTCACTAACCTCTTTACCTTAATGTTATTCACTGGGCTTTAGCTCACTGTGTATATATATATGTAGGTAAGCAAGTGCATGACCGAGCCTAATGGTACCTGTCTGGACTTCTGTTTTGTCAACCAACCTTAGTGCCTCACAAGGATGTTTTGTGATCAAGTCTTAAGCTCTTCTTGTCTTTTGTTTATTTTGTATACAAAGCTAAGTCCCTTTTTGTTTCATATGTATATGGTTGGCGTAAGAATGATGATGTTGTGATGTATGTATGTAAACGTATGTTTAAAATTTTCTTTGTCTCATATAAGTTGCACAGTTCATTGGACGATTAATAGTTATGTATTTGCTTCTGCTAGCCCCTTACTTTGTTAATCTGTTTCAGAGGTCTTCGGTAATCTTAAAATTACTAGCCGATTACGACGCTAAAATTATAGGGACGAGTTTGGGTTGTGACAGTAATAGTTCTAACTTCTAGGTTTTCGATTGGTTCTTATATGAGATGAATCCACATGTCTTGGACTTAAGCTGAGTATATCGAGGTGGCGAAATCTTGACAACGTGGAAGAAATCATGAAGTCACCGCTCTAGCCATCAATTTGGTCAAGCCATGTGGAAGGATGGTTGAAGTCACAACACGAGCAATGAAGTGTTCGCTCGAGCAGTCAAGGTTGTCAGGCTACATTTTCAGTAAGCGATCTGGAGTAGTTAGTGACTGAACTGACTGCATATTCTCTCTCAATGTAGGAAAATCATTGTTCAGCGAAAGGAGGGTGATAGAACTTGAAATCCTTGATGAATTTGGGAGATCTATGGACTAAAGTGAAGAATTGAACATTTCAAGGATGATTTTACTTGAAAACAATTACACTTTGATTTTGGAAGTCCTTTGAAGGTTTTAAAAGGCAATTTGGGGATATAGTTGGTGGATTCCAGCAAGGTGGTTCAGGGTGTGGAAGATCACGCTCCAAGAGTGATGAATGTGGACTTGACAAGATGTTCTTAGATCCGAGAGATGTGGATTCATCGAAGGTGTGGGAGCCCGAAATGGGTTTGTCCCACGTCGGTCTAAGAGGCATCCACAACCCACTTAATAAGTTGACTAACTCCTTCTAACTAATATGAGGCCTTTTCTAAAGAAGAACAAAACCGTGAGGCTCCGGCCAAAGCGGACAATATTGTAATCACTCAATTCTCGTAGTGCTTGATTTCCTAGCTAGTGCCCGAGGTTTTTTTCCACAATCAAAGAAATTCAATTGTGGTTTTCCATGTTAAAAACTAGTTGTCTCGTTTTCTATTTCAGTAATGGATTCAATTAGCAGTTCTTCTCTAGAACTAGGTTAGCTATTAATTGAATCCAAGTAAATTTTTATTAGTCACAGTACTCGGAATCGATTGTTTGGATCCTCTAGCAAATCCATAGCTGTTGTTCATTGGGAATTTCATTTGGTATCAGAGCCAAGTTTTCATGGGTTCAAGTCGCGGGAGCATCATCATGAGGGAGGGATTGTTGGTACACAATGTCACTCTACTGCTCTAAAACAGGCCCACAAGGGGCGATGTCGAATGCCATATAAGACAAAAGTGAAAACCTCCCTAACACCAATTGTGTTAGGAATTGGTGGAATTTAGTCCGACACTATGGAATGTAATCTATATAAATTAGGTATATACTAGGACAAAAGTTAAGTATGCTATTGCAATTTTGGTCTTACAATGCTCCATTTTAATCTAAACAGTTTCTTGAATAGGTATATACTTAAGATTGCAAAAAACTTATGTTTATGTTAGGAAAATATTTAGTGTATGGTTTATATAAGATTTTACCCCTACTCGATACGAATCATGACTCCGCCCATGTCTGTCGCAATATGTAAACAAACATAGACCACTAAAGATCTAATAGAAAGAAAGAAAGGCAAACCAGAGTTCACCAAAAAGTGTGATGCCATCAAAGTAAGCCCACATAGAGAAAACTAAACCACATAAAGTGAAAATAATGTAAATATCATCACAGTGGGCCACCTCTAATGAAAATAAAAAAAAATATCAGTAAATGAAATACAGTAATTTAATTGTGTGTACACAAATTACTCCATCAATATGGTCAAAAATCTATAGATGAAACAAACAACAATAATCAAGCAGCACCACAAAATGTAGCAGATTATATCAACAGTTTATATAAAGCAATATGGTTTAAGGATGATTTAAATCTTTAAACCACTTTTAAATCACCCAATTGACTGTGTTTTGTGGATTAAAACCACCCTTAAATTGCAATGTTGGTTTAAGGATGATTTAAACCTTTAAACCACTTTTAAATCGCCTAATTAATTGTGTTTTAGGGTTTAAAACCATCCTTAAATCACCATTGCAATATTATTGCACCAAAATTTATTGCAGAGAATCCTGATCCAATACAGAAACCATATGAACGGACCCATCCACAAAATCTGCTCTGAAATGGTACAGAATCGGATCGATAACGTTGTTCAATCTATCAGTACGAGAAACGAACCTATTTTGTCGTCACTGAGACGTGTACATTATTAATTTCCACATTGGCTGAATTGGCTCAACCATCGCTCCTCAACAAGCCCCCGCCGAGGCTGAATGTCATGGTGATACCAAACCCTAAAACCTTACCCATGTGACATTTTCTCAGAGGAACCCTAATGATTTTCCGAGAAGCCAAACAAACCTCTGGCAATACCAGTAGATTCCTCTACCAGACTTTTTCTTACCAAGCAACACAGAGACAGAGCAGAGGGACTACTCGCGCGCGTACCCAGGTCTTGGGTTTTATTCATACCAATGTTCGCGGGAAAAAAGGCCCCCGCAGCTAATGGACAGTTCCAGGCCCACTTATTTATGGGCTTCTTTACCATAAATAAATGAGGTGAGACTTGCCTGTAATGTTTTGGCTTGATTTTTTTTGTTTTTTTTGTTTTTTGAGAGCTGCTAACTTAGGCCTTATCTGTCATAATCTAAAAAAATTAAAAAGTCAAAAAGTCACTACCCTATTTAATTCACATTATCTTATTTAACTCACTTCACCTCTCTACCACATCACTTCAAACTCAATCCATATCTCACAAAAAATCAAAAAAAAACACTTATTTAAATCATTTCAAATCACCCCTTTGTAGAGCTCTATTTAGAACTCTACTTTTTGAGTTACCAATCATTACTGATGACATTTTCTCAGAGGAACCCTAATGATTTTCCGAGAAGCCAAACAAACCTCTGGCAATACCAGTAGATTCCTCTACCAGACTTTTTCTTACCAAGCAACACAGAGACAGAGCAGAGGGACTACTCGCGCGCGTACCCAGGTCTTGGGTTTTATTCATACCAATGTTCGCGGGAAAAAAGGCCCCCGCAGCTAATGGACAGTTCCAGGCCCACTTATTTATGGGCTTCTTTACCATAAATAAATGAGGTGAGACTTGCCTGTAATGTTTTGGCTTGATTTTTTTTGTTTTTTTTGTTTTTTGAGAGCTGCTAACTTAGGTCTTATCTGTCATAATCTAAAAAAATTAAAAAGTCAAAAAGTCACTACCCTATTTAATTCATATTATCTTATTTAACTCACTTCACCTCTCTACCACATCACTTCAAACTCAATCCATATCTCACAAAAAGTCAAAAAAAAACACTTATTTAAATCATTCCAAATCACCCCTTTGTAGAGCTCTATTTAGAACTCTACTTTTTGAGTTACCAATCATTGCTGAAATTAAAAAGGGTCGTTGGAGCTATCCAATGACCAGATTTATTTACTAACAAATTCTATTTTAAATTTTAACCATAAATTTATCACTATACAAACCAATTGCTTATTTGTCTTATGTTATATTTCAATACAAATTAATATAAATAAATTAAAAATAAATAAAATTTTCAAATAAAAATTAAAATGTCTCAATCATTTATTCATTTGATGAATATTTTAATATCATTATCAATATCAAATGATCATTCTATAAGCATAAATACATTTAAAAAGTATCAATAATGAGTTATGAGTAAACAAGTCTGTTCATAAAACAACATACTGGTAATTAATCTACGATTTAAAAATAAATAAATATTAATTGGTGCTCCTCATTATAAATTTGTATTAATAATGTGAGCACCTGATAGATAGATAGATAAACTTACGTACGTGTATATTTTAGTTTTAGTCGTCCAATATTTGAGAGACACAATCAGCTTGTTTGGTTTCACAACTTATATTCACCTTTTAGAAAATTGAAATTTTTTATTTTTTGTGCTTTTTTGTTTTCATTGAATTTTTTTAATATTTTAAACAATTTTTAAAAAATTTAGATACGGCTAACATAAATACACTTAAAAAGTATATTTATGAAAAAAAATCTTTAACAAATTCACTAAATATCAAAAAATATAATAAAAATACGAAAATTCAGTACATTTTTTGTTCTTGCGTATTTATTGATTTTTAAAAATATTTTACTTTTTAGATACATTTAAATAAGATACATCAAAAAAAAGTAAAAAATTAATTAAAATTTTATAAATATTCACTAAAAATAAAAATAAAAACTCAATTTTTACAAAATTAAATTTGAAAATTTTAAATCAAACACATTGAATACTTGTCAAATGGCCTTACCCAACATAACGCCAAGTAATTTGCACCTTCACTTTTTGAATAATTTAAAATAAATTAAAATTCAAATCCTAGTTCAGCCTTCAAAGCTCCCTCTTACACTCCCGTGTATTTAAAATAGGTCACTTAGAGCATCTCTAACGGTAGTAGGCATTTTACCTATCCAAATATTACTATAAAGTATATATTTTATTTTACCTATCAACTGTTTTATGTTTTTACTCCAACTATGCTCTTTATTTTAACTATTTATCCAAATACTATTAATTTTATAGAATGCCACGTCAACAACAGAGATGGAGGGAAATGATCCTAATGATTGAATACATTTTGCCTAGCGTTAAAGGCTAGCTACATGTAACTAGTGAATATGAGTTGAGCCAAAATGCCTAATCATATGCCTAGTGCATTGGAATTGAAAAAAATGAATCACACTAGGCATCTTAACTAACAAGTATTATATGCCTAGTGCATTAGAGCATCTCCAACGGTAGTAGGCATTTTACCTATCTAAATATTACTATAAAGTATATATTTTATTTTGCCTATCAACTATTTTATGTTTTTATTCCAATCATACTCTTTATTTTAGCTATTTATCCAAATACTATTAATTTTATAGAATGTCACGTCAACAATAAAGATGGAGGGAAATGATCCTAATGATTGAATACATTTTGCCTAGCGTTGAAGGCTAGCTACATATAGCTAGTGAATATGAGTTGAGCCAGAATACCTAATCATATGCCTAGTGCATTGGAATTGAAAAAAATAAATCACATTAGGTATTTTAACTAACAAGTATTATATGCCTAGTGCATTGGAGATGCTCTTGTGCTTCCTACGTACATTTGCGAAATGTTCACCACACTTGCGGAATATCGACTTTATGTGCAAAACATGTAAATCGCACATGTACATTTCAGCAAATATGAATCAACCTTATTGTATATATGACATAATATTCTTAGCATTTAATTTAAGATACTTTTTTAATTATAACTTGTCGTTTTGGTAACTCTATGTAAATGGCCTGTAACATTAATTAGATTATATTTTTTTGGGGTTGAATAAAATTAGATTATATTATTTCAACTAAAGCATTATCTAATTTTACAAATCATATTTTTTGTCTTGGCCAAACTTTGGGCTTGTTTGGTTTGTTTTTAGGAGAGTTGTTTTTGAAAAAAAATTTGGGGAGAGAATTTAGAAATTTTTTTGGTTTGTTTGGTTGTATATTTTGGGAGAGTTGTTTTTTTGGGAGTTTGGGATGATTTGATATTTTGGGAGAATTTGAGTAGATGTGTGTGAGAGAAAAAGTGATTGAGAAGGAGAGAGGAGAGAGAAAAAGTGATTGATTGATGTGTAAGAGAGAGAAAGTGATTTTGAAAATTTTTTGAGAAAAACTCAAACCAAACAATTTTTTAGAATTTTTTTTCTAAAACTCATCTCCCAAATGCAAACCAAACATACCCTTTATATTTGGTATACATAACTCCATCGTATGTGCAGGAAATGTCCACCACGTGTATTCAAAATAAGTTATTTAGGTTATGTTTGGCATGAGTTTTTTTAATTATTTTAGTCATAAAAAGATAAAATAAACTAACAAATCAATAAGACAAAATATTACATCTAAGTTATAATTATTTTATTTTTTCTCTTACAAAAGTTAAAAAAATCAAAAAGTCTATCCAAACCAAACTTTTGAATCCCAAGCCAAAATAGCTAAAAAATCAACTTGCATCTCAAAAGAAGAATTAATCTCACTTCACATTTTCCAAGACTTCACTGCACGTGTGAAAAATGTCCACCGCACGTGTGGAACATATTCATTCTACGCGCGAATTTCATGTACAATTTTGGGCTTGGTTGCATATGCAACATTGGTCGCCGCACGTGCCATCAATGTGCAATAATGCAAATAAAAGGATGCTCACAATATGTCTTCACTCTCCAAAATTTTCACCACTTACCCTTACTGCAACAAATGGTATGATGTAAGTGTTTGGTTGTCACGATCCAAACCCGCCCTTATAGGTTTAGCGTCGTAACTAACTAGTAATCCTGAGATTACCAAATGCCTCTGAACAGATCGATACATAATAATGGGCTGTGCAAGCAAATATATAAAGCATTCATAGTCCATTGAGCTATTTAAATATACATGGAACAGAAAATTTAAAACTTATATACATATTTGTGACGTTACTAACACATTGGTCTGACGTCATCATATCCACAATACAGAACATTTAGTTAAAGTATAAGAAATACAAAAGTCCCAAACATCGATCATAAATACTTGACCACGTCAAAACGAGAACCTCCTTGGGAGGCATAGTAGCTAGCTGACCAAAACAATACTCCAGGAAGCAGCTTATGCCTGGTCACGCGCCTGCTCACCTACATACATAAATAATACAATGAGTCAGAGCCTAGTGAATAACAACAAAGTAAAGATTTAAATGAATGATGTCCATAACATATTCAGAAATCATATTTCAAATCCCCTAATGATCAGAAACATAGCCATGTTCGTATTCGTATCAGAAACAGAGTCACATTCATATTCAAATTCAAATTCAAATCATGCGTAGTACATCCATTAGCGTTAACAAATCACATTGGTCATTCATATCAAGTTTCATAATGCAACCTCCGGTACCAGGTATCATATAACATACGTAGGCCACGATATTGTTTCCCCCAGGCGAGCACCTTATGCTACGATATTGTTTCCCCTAGGCGAGGGCCTTATGCCACGGTATTGTTTCCCCCAGGCAAGAGTCTTATGCCATGGTATTCTTTCCCCCGGATGAAGGCCTTATGACCATATGTCATGACCCACTCCCCGTACCCAAGGGTTAAATATCATGATGACCAGTAACTGAAGTTACCTACGACCAATTCTTGAACAAATAAATAAATACAAGTGAAAATAATATTTAAGTGAGGGTACCAAAATAAGTATCGGAGCTTCTATTTTTATAACAAAATTTATTGACTAAAAAGATTGATATTTACATATGAAAAATAGAATTATAAATGCTATAAACGTGCTATGTGTGTCTATTTTGCAGCTCCGCGTCTAAGACTCTTCAAA